TGATGCACCCACCATATAGACCTGACCTTGCACCATCACACTACCATTTGTTTTAGTCCATGCAGAACTCCCACAATGGAGTAAAGTTGGCATCAAGAGAAGCCGGTGAAAATTACTTGTCGCAGTTTTTCGCCGAGAAACCAGAAAAGTTTTACACTGATGGAATAATGTCTTTAGTGGCAAAATGCCAAAAACTGGCTTGCCAAAATGGTACACATTTGATTCATTAAAGTTCATTATAAATATAGAAAAATACATCGAAAATTTTTGCACTAAAATCAAAAGCACTTGTTAGCTTTTAGTTACTTTTTCGGGACATAGTTGATAATTGGGCGGGTAAAAAGTACGACGAAGTAAGAATCTCATAGCAAAACCTGTGCAAAACTGAGTGTATCGTTTGAAGCGAGCATGACTTACAGTGAAAAAAATTTAATTTTTAGTGCATTGTTGGCCACTCCATTTGCTATGCTCTCTCTACTCCGAATACTTAGCGTTTATCTCTTCATTTATCTGGTGAAAAATGAACTGAAGAAAAAAACCATGCGAACTAATGGTCAATTCACAGGAAGTGAAGGTGAATTGAAAATGCAAAAGGAAACGAGAAACAACAAGACCAGACGATGCTGCTTTGGCAATCGTGGCCACTCGAGTTTCGATTTCAACGTTTGAAAGTAAAATTTGCCACAGGAAATTCCCATTTACACAAGTCAATGCAAGATTTTCATAAACACACACACACGCATGAGCTGTTCTTTGTTTTCTGCAAGATCTTTGCCATTTCGGTTTTGTTTAGGTTTTGTTGCACTTATCATCACTCCTTTGTTATTAAGCGTCTTTGTTGCATTGAATTGACGTGCACCGTAGGGCGACAATGCGCTTGAACTTTCCACCTGCTGAATGCGACATCAGTGATCTTCAGCACACACACACACACACACACACCCATACACATGGACAGCTATTGTCACAAAAACGAGTGAGTTCAAATAGCAGAGCAGCATTCGCATGCCATCCTATACGGCAGATTATATTTGCAACTTTAGAAACATTTTAATGCAATTCAGGTGTGCAAAAACTCGCACACGCACACACACAAACATGAACAATTGCTAACAAATAAGCACATAACCTTACTTTCACACAATTGTCAGCTGCTTGCTTTCGTTTTTATTCGGTATGATTTTCTTTTCACACAATTGTTATGAATTGCAACGCAATCCGCAATAACAATGCTGTGATATCGGATGTACTACATGACATGGATGGCTTTGTTTGATGTTTGCAAAATTATTGTCAAAAAAATGTAATATAGTTCTCTTCCATCTATTCATGCTATACATCCATTAAAAATATGGTTGTTGCATAAGACATCCACAAATTTCCATCGATGGTTTAACGAGCTATTTTACTAACAATTTCGGGCATTAGTTCTTCAGACTGCAAAAGGCAAACAAAAAAAAAATTTTTTTTTAACCCCCCTTTTGAGGCATAAACATCTCGAACTGCACCATTTATCACTTGCGAACCTGTATAACATAATAAAACTCTAGCTGACAGATTTGTTGGCTGGGTTTTGCGTGAGCTAGAAGAAGGCTTGCCCCACTCAAAATACTTCAGGCGGCACAGAGTGAAACCTTATGTAGATGTAGGTTCAGTTTAACTTGAGGTGAAGAATTCGTCTCACAGGACGTCAACGCAATTTGGGAACTGTAAAAAAGACTTGACGGCTCGACTGATGCCAGTAGGTTGCGACCTGTCAAAAGGTCAACAGACGTCCGACAGTCCTTTCGAAACCGTGTGGGTAAGAAGCAATATAGTTTTACCTAAGGGTGTCTTGCACGTGATCTTGGCGGTCCTGCATGTACTTAAGGTATTTCATCTCGCTCTGATCCGCTTGTCAGCCCTTTCGAAACTTCTTTTTATATTGTTTTTAGTGACTTTTGTATTTCCAATTATGGCCTTGAACCCAGTATAGAGTTATGCAGCAGCTTTTCGGCAGCCGGTACATGTATTGCCTCCGTGCTTCTAAGATTATTCTCTGACGTAATGCGATGTGAAAATATTGCCTTAATTGCTGCCTGGCTATCGCTTTTATCCATTTGACATTATTTCATGAGTTTTTAGCTATTAAAGGCCGCTTTTCCAACTGCAAATACTTACGCCTGGAAGATACTGCAGTAATCCTGAAGCTTGAAGGGTCGTATGAGATCCAGCTCCGAGCAATAGATTCCGACTCGCACTCCATTGGTCATTTTGCATCCATCTATGTAAATGTCGCAAGTTCCGCTGGTGTATCGCACGTTTCTGCGCCATCCATCTTTCTTTAGTATGACATTGAACCTTCTCTCCCAAATAAAGCGTATGGGTATGTGATCTAATTTGTCCACGTGGACGGCTCGCTTTTTCAGCTCTGCCTGAAAGTCCTTGTAGAGAATTCGCCTATTGCCGTCAATCTTGCAGCTGATTTTGCCGCAGAGTTTGCCAATGCAATGCCGATTGGCAGTAGCTTGAGTAAAATTTCTATTGCCGAAGTTGAAGCGGTTTTTAACGCTTTCGTTATACAGAGAATAGCAAGTCGCTGTACCTGTTTCATCGGTTTCCTTTGTAGTGGAACGATTAGAAAGAAAATTGTGTGTAAGAAGGCGAGGTGGAAACATTCCGACGTTTTATCCTCGAATGTTTATATTTTACTCGTTCTCATAGAATCAGTCATGTAGGCGGAATCGGTAGAATTGAAAGCGAAACTTTAGGGACTGGTTCCCGTATATGTATACTCCGTGTCAGAAGCATTTTCATATATATTTTATAGAGTTTGCGAGGTTTCTTTCAATTTTTTCTTTAAAATTTGTCAAAACAATGCTGATCCTTTTGAGACTATTTCAGCCATAAATTTTTAATTACAAATTATTATGTTCTCTGAGTTGAAGTTTTCTCTACATGCAACGGTGTGTGAATAGTTCGTGACTCAGCCGAAAAATTGCAAAAGAAAGAAATCAGTATATTTAAGAACGCCAGCAACAGCCGATCGATATCTTCGCTTGTGTATCTCATTTATTCATTAATTATTCTCAATTTTGCTTCATTTTCCATTGTCCTTCGTTGGATAATTTTTCACGACACCGCCAACAACAATTAAGCGTTAAGACAAATGGCGAGCGATTCTCAATACTTATATATAATACAAAATATTAAAATTGGCAGAAAATTAACATGAAAAGATTATATTGCAGCCGGGTAAAAGAAGCATCCCTGCAAGGCGGGGAAATGAAAGTGTCAGGCGAGTAGAAAGAACAAGCTGAAAAGCTGATAAAGTATGCTTACACAAAGTGACCACAATCAGCACAGCAAAATGACTGGTTGTTGCAATAACAACAAAAACAACTCCGGCAACGACAACGACAACGCCGGTTGTTGTCGATGAATAAAAATGAGCGGCAGCAACGACAACACAATGTGTTTCGGACAATGACATTACATGCCCCAAAAGAATAATTTTACGAGACAAAGTAAGTAAGAATAAAGTGATACTTGGCGAAGCGGCATACAATGTGGACACACTATACACATACATATGTACATGCTTGCTTGTGCACTCAATGTCCTTAGGCTGTCATAATGAAATGTACATTGAACATATCCGTTTATTATGTTTCCGCTTCCACCTTGCACGAAGTGCCGTATACTACAAACACATACGCATTCTTGTGTATGTGTGTGTGTRCGTGCGTGAAGAAACATGCATTTGCCGTTTGCTGTCCACATTATTGCATGAAAGCTGCTTAAATGCTGCTATTTGTGGCGCTTAATTTGTGCATTGTCAGGCCATCAATAAATTCTGCAGCTTTCTCGTTTGTCGGTCCATGAATGCACATAAATTCTGATGCACATATATGTGTGTGTGTGCATGTGTGCATTCATTCGCTTTTCTCACATTTTTCACAACTTCTGTCGCGCTTTCTCTGAGTTTTAATGGTTTTGTGGCAATTCTGTGGCGATTATAATGCGATATTTCACATGCATGCGAAAAACTCTCTTTGCGAACGGCTGGCAGCGTTGCAGTTCGGAGTCACTTAGAGCTTTTCTTCAAGTTCTTAAATTTGAATGAATTTAAAATTTATATTATTGCATTGTGGTGTATCTTTCGTTTGGGCAGAGCTGAATGAAGGCCTTTTAAATGCTAGGGAAATATTTGTATTTCATTAAAATGAATTTTAGTCATTACTTTGTTGACGAGACTTAATTCTGTTTGGTCTTTACGTTATGCCAAAATATTGAGGCATAGAATGCTCTTTAATGGGACTCAATACGATTTTTTTAAGGTTTGACTGCTTTGGGTGTTTGTGTGACTAGTTACGAGGGGTAGTCAAACAGTAAGAAAAATTTAATTTTATTAAAACCATTTCGAGTTGATTTATTTGTCCGAAGGTCACAAATTTCTTAAAGACTTTTTTAGAATGAAAAAAGTGAATTTTCGAGAATTTTTTCTGAGGAAATTAAATTTTTTTGAACATTCAAACTGTATGTAATCTTTTATTTCCTAATATTATTTAAGATTGAAAGTTATGTTTTAAATCTTTAACTCCTATTTTGGGATCAAAAATTCCCTTTTGAAATTTAAAAGAGAGAAAATGTGTTTCAATTTCAAAATTGAAGTAACAATTCCAAAAAAAAAAAAAATATGTTTTGAGTTAAAAGTTGGAATGAAAATGGGCGCAAACGCCAGATTTACATATATCTAATATATCTATATCTATATATCTATATATTTACATATTTCTAACTTAAAAACTATAATTTAAAGAAATTATTTTTAAAGAGTGCCAAACTTAGTTAATACTTTACTATCCGATATTTACGAACTCCCAGGTAAACTAAATTTTTGAGATAAGAAATTCGAAAATTTTTTTTTGTGAATAATTTTGTTATCAATAAATTAAAAAAAAAATATTTTTTTAATTCAAATGTTAATTAAATAATTATTTTCAAATTATTACTTGCAGTATATGAACATTTCCCCACTCAGAAAAATTGAATTAACAAATAATGGTTCAATACATGATTTGAGGTTCGAAGGTTGCCAGCTCTTTGAAATTTGTAAGTTACAAACACACAATAAAATGAAGAACTAAAATCCGGAGAATGTTGCCACCTATGTACAAATCAAATAATTAAAAAGCTAAAGAAGTTTAAGAGAGTTTAGAGCTGGAAACTTGTTGAGCGGAAGAAGTTTAAGTGAGTTAAAGCTGAAAATTTGTTGACGGAGTGTTGCCACCTATTTAAAAATCAAATAAGTTGGAAACTGATTCACGCTGCCATTCAAATGCTGCTTTGTTTTTGAACCCACCTCGTACTGGATTTACACTTTTGTTTTGTAATTCACCTTACACATTTGTGGTAACTTCGAAAGCGTTAATCCTTTTATTCACAGCACTCACTTCCGAGTATCATTATAATTGCTACAATTACATTTGCATTTCAATCAATTACAATTTATAACCGTCAATTTTAATTTAATTAAATGCAATTTGTCAAAAACAAAGAATGTTCTGGAATTGCTACCGAAGGTATTGTGTCACGGTGTAAAAAGTAGCACAAAAAATGCATTTTGTGAAAAAGTAATGGCCACACACACACCACATCCACATACAACGTACAAATGTGCAGTTCGACTAAAAGCTCGTCTTTTTCACTTTAATTATTCGCTTCCTCTTTTTTGTCATCGTTGCGGTCGGCGGCCAGCGGCCAGCGGCCAGCAGGCAGGCAATAAAGGATGATTAAACATTAAAAGCGTTACCCGCAAAATGTAATTTTAAATCAATGGTTTAATCTTTGGCAGCACATGTATATATACGTTTATATCTACAGACACATACTAACGATATATGTATATATAAGTCCATATGTGGCCTGCAATCAAACCAACTAGTAGGAAACTAGCTTAGAAGTAGTATGAACCACTAACTAGTAGCCGACTGATTTTCCTGCGAAGCAAGTGCTACTTTGACATGCTGCTGTACTTGGAACAGTCAGCTGTCAGCTGCCAAATTTCTGTCAAAGACATGCTAGTTCCAACAATTCACAATCTAATTCCAATCCGATTATGTAGTTATATCATATATCCAATAAAATAACTCTTTCTTACTCTAATTGGCATAATACCGATGTCTTTCTGACTGGTTGGATGTCTAGTTGTAAACGACCATATTTCCCGACCAGGTTGATGCTCCACTGTGAATTTTGTATTCCTATTATTTCAGTGGTCGGCAAATGGGAAGCTCCTCTGCAGCTGGAATGCATTTTTATGGAGCCGGGTAAAAAAGAAACAGCAAATAGAAACGTGGAGCAGAAACTACTGGCAGAAAAATTGTCAATGCAAAGAAGAGCAACGAAAGGTGCAATTCTATTGATTAATTGGCCCACACTATGTGCGATAATGAGAAAATAATTATTTTAAGGGAAAACAGAAGCAAAAACTGAAGAGGATTTAATTGCTTATTAAGGCTGGACCAAAAAACTTTTACACTTTTTAAACGTTGACAAAAACACGACTCGCCTATGTAGTCTGTGAATTACAAAACTTGTATCGAATCTGAAAAAATAAAATAAAAAGAATAAAAGCAGTTGTACAAGTATATATAATGAAAATGTAATCTAAATAAATAAATCCACCTGGAGCGAGAAAGAGTTCATTGATGATAAATAAGGTATGAGGTGGCAAGTTACTAAAACCTCTTTTATTTTTGTTGGTTTCTGTTTAAAATTTTTTTGTTGAAATATTTTATTACAATTTTTTCTGTGACAAACATATAATATAAAAAAATATTTCAAACTCGGCCATTGCGACTTTTCGATAACTCTAATCATCTAAAGTAATAAATACGTGTTTTAGTTAATACCTTAACTTAGGACTTGGACGAAAAAAAAATGAAAATTGGATTTTTGGCAGATATTTTTACAAAAACTTAAAAAAAAAAATTTCTCGAAAAAAATTATCCGCCCAAGTCTTGTATCTCAAAGTTCTGTGTAAAATTTCATGAAGATCGGTTGAGCAGTTCGCGAGTAATTTACCAACCGACACAGTTTCGAGAAAAACGCGTTTAACCTAGCTAGCCTCGAGCGCACAAGTCCTCAGGGCTGTTGCTCCGATACTATTGCTCGAATCAACTTGAAAATTTGGAACAATATTCTAGAGGTCTTGTAGAATTAAAAAAAAATAATAATAATAATAAAAGTAGATTTTTTAAAACCCGTAAACCACCCTGTAGCCCCTTAACGCTCGCAGTGGAGAATGCCTCATATCACACATTCCTCTCGAAAACGAAAATACCCATAACAACTAAACATTGATTTATTGATTTTCAAAGCTTAAGGAGTAAAGTATAGTAATTATTCACAAAACGTAAGAAACTATGAGATTACTTAAGGTTTTTTATGGGTGTATTCTGTTCTAGACGGCTAAATTTTAGGCATTTTTTGAGCTAAGTTAAAAACAAATAAACATTTTTTTCATTTAAAGAATATAAAAACAAAAAATATAAAAAAATAAAAAACAATCAAAAAATTGTGAAATGATAAACCGATGGAACATGAGGTGCCATGTCAACCACTTCAAAAAAAGGTTTTTCAAATTTCTAACCAGGAATACACCATTATGGCAGAAAGCAGAAATTCTACGTCAAAGAAAGAAGAGCAACAGAATTGCGCATGCTTCAGAGTACACACACGAACTGACAGTTTCTTAGAACAGATGGTATAGCTTGTTCGATTCACTACTCTCCAACGCATAGCTAACAGAAGACAATAAAGATTCGTTAGAAAATTAGATTTTAAACTTCTAATATTGCTGGCTAGCTTAACTGGCTAAAAATGACTATATTAAGTCGAACACTTGACTCGTCCAACATGCTGACAATGTATCCACCTGCTGAGAGGATCGATCAGCGACTACGAATGAATAGTGTGGAAAATAATTTTACTTAACGGTGGCAGTTATTTATCCCAAAAGTTTCCTCTATCACCTGTCTTCAGCCTAGCTTGCCGCAACTCCCCTTGCACTTCACTTAATGAAAACAATTAACAATTGCCATTAATGACGCTGCTTAGCAGTTAATTGAATGGAACCAAAAACGCGCGTAGTGCTCATGAAAAGCTTATGTATGTTTGTATATAAATATTTAATGATGTGCGCAGGCATGTCTGCCACATGAGAAAATGCATAAATAAACAGTTATGTATTATTAAGTTTCATTGTTTCGACCACATCGTGAATACAACAATTGCGCACACACCCACAAAGACACATACAGATGCACAATCATGGCTCTAGCTCCACAAGTTTAACATGCACAACAACAGCAAAACCACACATTGTCCGACTTGTGTACACAAGCTCATTGTTATTGTTATTGCCCTGCGAAATTTCAGCAACAAATTTAGCGCCATTAACGCGCCGAATTCCTACTCCGTCGCTTCGGGTGGGCTTGCTTGTTGTTCTTATTACAGTTGCTATTGCTGGTCAGCCGCAAAGTGCCAGCAACAACAAGAGCAGCAAGCAGTTTCGCCGAGCGGACGCACAAAATGACCTCCGGCGAAGCGACGCACAACAAAAAGAAACAATGACCGCGAAAAATACAACAACCACCCCTCTTCGTCTAACCCCCTAATACCACTAATAACAATAACTAAAATACGCATTAGCATTAGCGTTGGCATTAGCAATTGTACGGTCAGCCAGCAATTGTCGCAGCGGCGGTCGCTGGCGGCTTTGCGTTCGGCGTTATTGCTGTGTTTCATGTGCGCAATTGTTGATATTTTGCGTTGCTTCGTCGGTGGGAAAATTGCGCCTAATTTTCTGGCAGAGCGCTCATAAATGTTTCGCACACGCAGTTGGTGGCAACGGAGCTAATACCAAACCGCCATGTTAACACTAGTGGCAACAGCTGATAGCGAATGGCCAAGCGTCTAACTATTTAATGCAGCCTATATTTGGCCAATTTCATGTAAATATATAGTTATTGGTTATGTAAATTCAAATAAATGGTTTATACAAGGGCTTCACTGAGTTGAGAGGCTTCTCGTTTTTGTTTTTCCACTGATAAAATAACGTTGAAGGCATCACGGAAGGCATTTTCCGGAATAGCCTTTAGAGCCGAGGTGCATGCTGCTTGGATCCTCTTTAATCGGGGTTTATCAGGCAAGGAAACAAAAAATACCCAGGGGACACATCTGGATTGTAGGGCGGTTGTGGAAGCGTTGGAATGACAATCTTGGTTATGTAGCTGTTCACAAGAAAAACGGTGTGAGCTGGGACGTTGGCGTGGTGCAACTTCTAATCGGCTGCGATGTCTTGTCGGACCCGATTGACTTCGTTTGAGTCTCTTGAGGGCTTCCATGAAAAACTTGGCGTTGACGGTATGTTCAGGAAGAACAAATTCATGGTGGACGTTGCCTGTGATGTGAAAAAAGACAATAAGCATCGTTTTCTCTTTGGATTTTCTCATTCTCCCGGTCTTCATCAGCGACCTCTTCTGGGCTCTCCAAAAAGGCCTGGTGCCACCGAAACACACCACTCTTTGCTAAAGCAACGTCTGGGTAAGCGTGATCATATCAAAGGTCTCTATAGCAGATTAACCGACTTTCACACCGAATTTTATAGCGTACACCTGCTCTAACAAACGCTGCATTTTCGGTTTGCACCACTCACAGAAACACGTCGCGCGAAAATGTTTGCCCTGACTATCCAGGTGCTCGGAGACAACCGACCATACGCTCGCTCGTTAGCTAGGAACGTCCTCTACCAAATCCAGTCAATGCGGGCATGGCCCGAAGTACAGTCGCGGCTCAAGAAAATCAGTCATACTTACTTTCCGGACAAACTCTGTGATTAGCAAGACTCGTATGTCGGCAACTACATGGTCACTGTCCGATTTGCAACACGCGGTAAGGCTAAAGATTTTGGAGGACGAAACTTGTCAAAGATGCAGGGAATAAGAAAATGTGGAAACCTCTCGAAAATAGAGTTAGCAATGAAAACAGTAAAGGAAATGGAATAATGGTGAATGGATGCCCCACTGTTTGCCAGAAAAACTTTTACC